CGTTATCATCTGCTGCATTTATATTGACTGTTCCAAGGTGCGTAATATTTGAGCAGTAATCCATGCTTGGGTTTTATTTTGTTTTGGAAAGAAGTTGCCATTGATTAAAACAGTTTTGATTTCAGAAAAGCAAGCTGTCCGTCTTTATTGTGGATTAAGGTATCATTCAAAGGTATACAGTATTCTATGCTCCAAGCAGCCCAAGGTACTATGCTAAATTCAAGTCAACCAGCCAGCCAGGCTTTCCATATGGTTCTCATAACATGCCCTAAAACTACATTTCATTTCATAATCTGAAGAGACGACACTAGATTAAAAGCAGGCCCCACAGAGATACATTTCAGAAGTCAGTGCAGGTATTCTAATTACATAACATATGTAGCCATTTCTGGTACATAAATTGGATTTTTATTGGTATGTACAGATTCCTTAAAGAACTGGCACCTTTAATATAAATAGCATCGGCCCATACTAGAGCTTTGGGTGAAGGAAACTTTTATTTGTGTTTTGACTTTTTAATCTAGTTTTTACTGCCATAAAACACTGGAAGGGTAGTAAATAGTAAGATGTTTAAACCCCCAGAGCTATAAAGATGTCATGCTCCTTACAGTATGTACCGCAAGAAGGTTGTATTATTCTGAATTCTGTTTTGCCGCTAGTTTCAACTTTAAAGTCCCAATCTAGCAACAGGATTCACAAGTGCAGACCCTTAAGCCCACACAAAGTCCCATTGACTTCAGTAAGATTCTGGGGGTCATAAGGTTTTGTGGTAGCAGATCATATTACAGCACTGGGGACTAATTCTGTAAAAAGGACTTAACTGATTTAGAGTTGCCATTGGTATTATTATAGGAGCAGCATATAAAGTCATATAGCCCATTACACCTACTTCATGATATTTAATGTAAACATTTTTCTGAGAATCTGTTGAAGTTGAGTTGTTCATATAATAAAAAGACTTTATTTAGGCCCCAGTTCAGGAAAGCATTCTAACACATGTTTAAATAGAATAAGAATAAATAAAACAGGCTAGAAATAAAATAAAAAGAATAAAATATGTATGTAGAATATTTCTGGCATTAAAATTTTAACCAATTTTCAATGGGTGTCTAAAAAAAGAAAATATAGGTTAGAATTAGCAAGGAACACAAAAGGAATTAGTTTCTACAATAATAGGATGAAGTTAAAAACTGGTTTGTAAAAATGGTGCTGCATCTGTTGGATAAGCTAAAAGATAGAAGGGCCTAATTTAATTCTGTCTTTGTCATAAATCATGAGTTACCCCATTTAAGCCACCACTCTGCTCTTCTGAAACAAAGCATCATATAGTCTTTGACTATAGTGTGTGGTTTACTATGGAACTGATCCAGCAAAGGAGCTGAAAAACATCAGTTTCTGTGGACTAGGCAGGATTGGATCATGTGCTAAGTTTCATGTTATCAACTTTCTAAGGCTAGACCAAAGGCTAGCTGAAGATAGACATACACCATGGTCCTAATTAATTTTTTCTCTGTATACTCTGTGGGTTAGCAAGTCCTTCCCACTTCCTTTCCCATACAGAGAGGAATCAGAAACTGCCAAAGGTCACCTGTGATTAATATTGCAGTGTACTACTTTGACTTCTAAATTCATTTCAAACCAATATGCCAGTAAACAGAATAAACCATGCTCAGTCCAGCATATAGCACAAGTCTTTCCTCTCCACCCCTGTTTCCTTGAACCACTACTGTCATGGGATCTTTTTTATTTGGTTTGGTTTTTAAATAGGAACTCTGTTACTTAAAAGGAATTCACCCAATAGGATCAAGTAAAAGGATATTAAGGTTCTAGGTCTGTACAAAGCTTCAACAGAAAAAAGTGTCACACTGCTACTGCACATATTGAAGCTCTGAATTTATGAACACATTCAGTTACAAATTATTTCCATGACCTGTTTTTTTTTTCAGTAGTCTGAGTAAATTCTTTCAGTATGATATACAAAAAAACTAGAACTCTTGGTTCCAAAATGATACCTTTTATTAGACAAACTGGAAAATGGCAAGAAAATATTAAGTCTTTCTACTGGACCCATTTCATTGGATTAAACATAAAATATACCAAAGAACTTTCGGCTGAACACAACTCTATCTCTCAGGAATTAACCACTCACTGGAAGTAAATCATGGTGCGTTATAATAGATTGGACATCCGCAAGAACTACTTCACAGTTAGGGCGGCTAGGAGCTGGAACCAACTTCCAAGGGAAGTGGTGCTGGCCCCTACCCTGGGGGTCTTTAAGAAGAGGCTGGATGCCTACCTGGCTGGACTCATTTGAGTCCTGTTTCTCTTTTTGGGGTTTTTTGTTGTTCTCCCGCCCTGGCGGGGGGTCGGGCTAGAAGATCTACTAGGTCCCTTCCGACCCTTAATCTATGAATCTATGAATCTATAATACAAAAAACCATTGTCCCAAGTTATTTGTGGCTAAACACCAAAGACAAGTACACAATAATGGTTAGCAATGTGTGAGATACAGTTTACTCAAGGTCATTTATTCTAAAGACCTACCTACAACCAAATATATTGTCATTAGGTGTTTTTTTCCATAGCAGAAGTTTGCACAGAGCAGTGGTTCTCAACCTTTTTGGACTCAAGGCACCCCTCTGTAATGTCTATGAATTAAGTTGCACCCAATTCCAAAACTGATCTATATATTATAATGCTTACGTCCTTGCAGATGGGCTAGGAAGGTGGGGTGGAGGGGGGGATTCATCCAGGCAGGGAGAAGCCCGAGTCTGTGCTTATCTCCTCATACCTCAAGGCACCCTTCAAAGAATCTGGCAACACCCCTGGCACCCTGGTTGAGGATCACTGGCATACAGGAAGAGAAGAAACTAAAACACTGTTATTGTATAAAAGGCCTGGCCAAGGCTTTGTACACACCATATACAATTGAACCATTCTACCCAGTGTCATTCCATCTATGAGGTGAAAGCTTTGGGCACTTTGATTGCAACCCTTTGCACTCTAGCCCTGTGTGGCTGTCTTCGCTCGAAGGCTCTCTCTCAAGCCACCTTTGCCCGAGCAGCTGACTTTGTTCGCCAGGGTACCTGAAGGTAATTGAGGGTGTCCCCCAAACTCTCCTGCCATGACTTTGGATGGTCTCTCTGCGAAGGGGGTCCCCTTTGAGGGTGCCTCCAGAGTGGACATGCATCCCGGCAGATGTCCCTGGGGCTCCAACCTCCCCTACACGCCGGCCATATGCCAACCTTCTAGACGAGCCTCCAGATCTTTAGCAGCTATTCCCCTTTGATATCTTCCTGGTCCCCACATCCTTCCTCACCGATGGGTGCCTAGGGCTCTGACTGGACCCAGAGGATCTGGTGACTCACTGCCTTCGGAGATGTCCCTTCTGACACCCAGCACTATCTATGGGAGATGTCACTGTTCCTCTTCGCACTCTCTCGTGGTCTCTTTCCCACCTTCGACCGAGGTCACTGCTACCCCAGCCTGGGAAGGAGGGCTATGCTAACCTGCACTAGACAGGGAACTAAGATAGAACAACCCGAAAAAGGGAAACAATCAAAATACCTTCACCAGCATAAATCCCTGGGCCTCAGAAGCAACCCGACATGAAAAACAAAACTGATACCCCGACTACAAGAACAATGAGACAAGGAAGGGTAAAACGGACAAGGGGGAATCACGGGAAGTGTCCTGTACTCCCTCGGTCCCCTATCGCCCCTAAGCAAACATGCCCTCAGGGTCGGGGTCCATGCCTCCACCCCAGCTGGGGTCTCCTTCTTCCCCTCTGGGACCCGCCTCTGCCCTGTGGCCATGGCCCCCGTTGCCTCTTATTAGCACTCCCACACCGGCTCTCCCTTTCGGCTCTTTTGATCCCCACCGGGCTTCTCCAGCACGGAGATTCCCTGCAGCTCCTCCCACTGTCGCTGCTGCTGCTGCCAGCTTCCCTGCTGGCATCTTTGATCCCCACCGGTCTTCTCTGGCATGGGGATCCTTTGCAGCTCCTGCTGCCTCCACCACTGCCACTGCTGCCAGCCTTCCTGCCAGCATCTTCAATCCCCGCCATACTTCCCTGGCTCGGGGATCCTCTACAGCTCCTGCAGTGGTCTCCACCGGTCCTGCGGCCCTCAACGCCCCCTTTCCCGCACTTTCATGGCTGATTTTTATCTTCACCAGGTGATGCCTCCTCATTGTGTTACCCAGCTGGAGATGGGTGCGGCTGATAGACTGCTTGGGCGGTTTTCCATGGCACGCCTCTTCACCCCCCTGGGCCCCTGCAGCAGGTATGGGTTTTTTTCCTTTTTCTTTGATCAGGGGTCTGCCTCTGCCCCAGGCTTCCCCCTGGTCTGACTCTGTGTCCCTGTGACACCCTGATCTAGGGTCGGAAAGGACCTGAGCAGATCATCTAGTCTGTCACTCTCTCACTCCCTTTGCTCAGTGTAGGAGAGGAGGGGGCTTCAAGAGCCAGGTTTTACAATCTCCACATGCTTAGGGCCACCCCGGGCTATGCTAAGTTACAGATCACTTTGTTTCATTTAAATTGCTTCCCAGAGGCCCTAGAGCATTCACGATAGGACCTCTAAATGCCACCACAATGTAAATAATTCCTGTCTGGGATGGAGCACTGCCCTCTACACAGAGGAAAGTGTTTTTTAAAAAGTCTTTTTAAAAATTAAGAACTTGCTAGTGCACAAAATCAAATGTTCAAAATTTGAATCCTATAACTTGCTTTCATCTCATTTAAAAATATGGAAAGAAAGCAGCCTCTCAAAAAGATTGTAGAAAGCCTTTTCATTGTCATTTACGCAACAAGCATATTCTGGACTAGTAATGTTGAAATGGCCCCTTATAATACAAGGTTGTTTGCCAAACACAAATCTCCATGAAGGCTCGACACTTCAACACAGATCAAAGCTCAAGAACTGAAAATTCTCCTTCGTCATTCTGAAGTGGGGAAAGATTCATACTGAAGGGGGAAAAAATAAGAGAAAAGCAACCCACCTCAGCTGCCATATCAGCACACTGTGCTTGGCCTCCAGTACTTAAATTCTCTGTTGGGATTACAATGAAGACTGGAAGCCAGACACTGGAGTTCAGCTCTTTCCTAGAACATACATGGACACCATTCACACTTTCTGGGTCTGGCTCATTTACTTCAACATCAAGACCCAGGAATGGGGTTAACATCAGACTGCAATTTTTAATATTAAGAGAGGACAGGAGAACATTGTAAGAATTTTCCTCTAACAAAATTCATTTGGAGCAACAAGATCATTAAAATCAAATACACAGCAATCAAAATCAGAAAAGTTGGGAAGTTTTGTTAAGGGGGGAGAAAGAGAAGATTTGAGTGAAAAATAGATATTCACAGTATTTTATTCCTGCCTCCACCCAATTTTCTCCACTTTGAAACTAAACTCTCTAACTTTTTAACTATGATTCCTGTGCATTTGATGGATTTGATTCTAATGGTCCAGAGGAAACTAAAACAGATGACTAACATTATCCAGTAAATGCAAGCCCCAGGGAAATTCTATAGAGGTAATTTCTGGTCCCTCCCAACCCCCGCACTGTCACCCAGCCATTTGAGCTAAATAAATAATTACAAATATTTTACACTTAAATAGCAACTTTGACCTCAGTGTCTAAAAGCACTTTATGGCTATTAACTACACTGTACCGTACCCAGAAAAAAATATCCATTGCTTATCTGAATTGTGAAAATACAGCTGAGGAATAATACATATAATCACACCCCATAAAAATGCATAAGTGTATTCAACTGTAGATGACATGGCATAAACTTAAAATATTAGGAGAAGAAAATTAAAATACCTGAGATTTAAAATCCTTTACATTAAATATTTTCAGAAAATAGATCTCCTCTCAAACAGATTTTCCTATTACTGTTTTCCCTCAGACAAAACCTCAAAACCTCCTAAAAACATGCCTGTTTTGTAAAAAAGACAGACAGACAGACAACAAATGGGGGAATCTAGCTTGGCCATGACATGGAATAAATCCCTTCCTTATTTGTGGGGCAGTGGGGAGGACGGGGGGAAAAAAAAAATCACTATTATTTTCCTGTCTCCTCTGATCCCACAAACCAAGTCTCCCCCTTTAAAGAAGTAACTAGGCAAAACAAAACTTTTTCAAAAGATCCAAAAAAGTCTGAATAAGTTTGTTCCTCTCTTTTGCATTCTGCACAGTCAACCACTATGAATGTCAGAAATGTAACTTGACACTAACATCTCCCTCGGGAAGTGCGCCTCTTGACATCTGTGTCTGCAGGTTCTAAAAGGGGGAAAAAGCAAGAGTATTTTATCAAATAAAAATAAGATACCTGACTAGTCCACACCACTGAAGTCATATGGGACCTGTACCAGGCACTGGGAAATGAAACCCAGAAAAAACTAGATGTCTGATTTTTTTAAGCTTACCAGCAGGTCTTCACACACTAATTCACATCAGCCCACCAGGCCTGTTCACTAAAGAAGCTACTGCCATCTTATGGAAGAGACTTTGAAAAACATTCAGTTTAAAAGCTAGTCTACTCTTCCACCTTTGTGAAAACTATTCAAGGAAGAAAGTATGCAAGAAGAAAACAGCAATCTGAAAAAAGGATGTCTTACTTTGGGGGCTTACTATGACTTACTTCTCATTTGACTTACTGCCCAGTAAGCTTTCTGAGCATTAATTGCACATGTAGACATGCCCAGTGAGTCTGACTTCTAATTCTGATTTTGCCACAGACTCAGACTTCTCCATGAGAGATTTGATTTTAAACTCATTCTTTCATAGTTTGATTTAAGCTTGATAGCTCATTCTTTCATAGCTTGATTTTGGTTTAGCTTAGATGAACTAGAAATTAGTGTAAATTAGATCAAAATAAGGTACTCAACCTAAGGTGAATGGATTTAAGTAATACTAGTGCAACTTTCACATGTAAGCAAAGCCTTATTTCCTGCATGTGTGTTATATTTACTGACCTCCAAGACCTACTAAGGGAATTAATGATCTGAAAACTTAAATCCTTATAGAACTGCTAAATATTGCCACATGAGAGATGTGCGATTCCAAGAGAGACGCGATCAAGCAGGAGAGGAAAGATGAAGACTGAACACAGTCATCTGTGTGGGTGGAAGATTCCCACTGACTTTAGTAAGAGCTGGTTCTCAAGCACCCAAGGTCGATTTTTTGACCAGTAAAACCAAAGATGCTTTCCGTGCCCAGCATGAGAAAATTGGTGGGTTTTTTCCTTTACTGGGGCAAATCAGAACATCTTTCAAATAGAATATTTCAGAGTTTTCCATGAAGCAGCATGATCGCATGAAGGCATATCTACCCAGAAAACTTACAGTTCCAGGAGCCAGCTTCCAAATGGGAAATAGTGTAGCCACAGCCATGCAGTACTACAGTTGCCTGCTTGTAGAGTGGTACAAATGAGGCACGTTTAAGGGCCCTGGCAGGTTTGCTGTGCAGAATACTCTTCACCATCTAGGATTTGAAAAATGCAAAAATATTCCTCTTAATTTAAATACTATATTCATTTGTCATTCCCACAGCTGTTTGCCTTCAAAAAAATATACCTTCCACCAAGCTTCAAGGATCATCAGATGCTTCTGCCAGTATATCCTGGTGTCCTCACTCACTGTGGGTACCTAAGAGCAGCATTAGCTCACTGAATCCTCTTTTTCCATTTTACCACATTCTGGCCAACCCCTGCTACTGGTTTGTGGTGAACACACGAGCTGTAGCTCCCAGCAGCACTAAGTGGTCATACCTTAAACCCTCGACATTATCTAGCTCCCAGCTAACAATGCTCAATGGGAAGTAACTAGTTTCTAAAGGGATTCTTGAGACAATTATGTGGTTTGAGGCACTTAAAGGCTAGACTGTGACCAAGCAGAGAAGGGCATTTGTACGTGACACAGGGCTTTAAGTCTCCCTAAATTGAAGTGGTGGTTTTTTAAAAACGCCACTTCAATTTAGGGCAAAGTAAATGCCCGTGTTGTGTACACCCATGTTGGAGCCTGATCCTTACCTGCCTCTCCAGCAGCAGGGAGGGGAAAGCGAGCTCCAGGCAGGCAGAGCAGTCCCTGAGCTGGGGGGCCGGGCAGCAGCAGCCCCCCACCAGGCAGCACCAGCCCCCCACCAGGCGGCACCCACCCAGCTCAGGCAGTCCTGGGGAGCACTGCAGCTGCAGAGGGAAGCACTCGGCCCCCCATGCAGCTCAAGCAGGCAGGCAGGCCCAGGGGGAGGTGGGGGCGGGGGTGAAGATCAGACTTGCTGATTTTCTTTTTCCTTCTGTGGAGCCTGCCTTCCTGGGCTGCTGCTGGACTGCCTGCACGATCTTCCTGCACAGCCTCTGAGCTGCATGGAGCCTGGTGCTTCTCTCTACGGCTGTAGGGTAGGAAATTAAAACTCCTCGGAGGTGTTTTGTACTGTGCAAAGCGGCTAATATTTGCTTTGTATTCAGCCAATTCAGAGAATAGTGATTCGAATCACTGTCTCAAAATGATTTGGCCAAATCTGATTCAGAGATTCGGCTGCTGCTGAATTGGCTGAATCAAATAGGCCCCATCGCCCACCGGCTCTCCCAGCCCTGTCAATGGCTGCCCTGCCCATCCCCAGCATCCTGGCA